AAATGGTGTGATTCAACTTCATGCACAACCAAAGAAGTGAGAAATTCTGCTCCATTTGTGTACAATGAATTGAAGAGCTTTCTACTGTCATATATAACTGATTTGAACCAACAAATAAATAAAGAAGTATGATGTCCAAGTTCTGGTAGAAGGTATTGGCAGAATAATGGTCAAGGCCCATTCTGATGATGAGAGTCCAGAATTCCTAACCCTACAGCATTGCTACTTGATACTTAGTCTGGCTGAGAAAGGCCATGGAATTCAGGATTATGAACACTCACAGATCCAGAGGAGAAAATTGGTAATGGATCAAGCACAGAAGATGAGAGGAGATCTTGGCAGCCAGGCAAAGCTCAGAGGAATCTGGCAATAAGTAGTGATTAAGAAAGTCTATGAAATTGCTGATTGACCATTAGAGAGGTCCACCATGGAAGCTTGATTAATACCATACAAATAGTGAGTAGATGAATAGAAATTCAATTCCAGATCTTTTTGTCTCAAATCAAAATTCTTTGTGTTGTAACATATGGCCTACAGCCTAAAGAAGAAATAAAAATATCATCAATTAAAATGCAAAAAAGAATAGATCATATTTCACAATATAATCCTTAAAAAATTGCACACCAATATGCTTCTTTAAAATATTGTGCAATGTTGATTGATAAGAACTGTTTTAGCAAATATTTATTGAGCAATTTTAATTTGCCCAGCACTAGTTTAGGAATATTAAGTTCCTCTATTCCAGGAGCTGAATGAATACATACCATTTACCTACATGATTTAAGTGACATTTTACCCACAAACTAAGTAGAATAACTTTCACCATTTGCAAAGTCCTTATTCTCTTTAGAACTCCATTGTTTTCAGTGTAAAATGGGGGTATGCTCTGGGTCATTTCTGTAAAGGTCCATCCAGCTCTAATCTAAGTATGTTTGACTTTTAAGGGATTGCACAGTTATAATGTTCCTACTTTCACTTCCTATTTGTACATGGATGATCTGATGTTTCTGTCAAAAATAGTGTATCTATTCTAAAGCGATGCTCTGGTAATTTGCTTCAAGTTAAATGAGAAGGTGCATTTTTAAGTAAAAATATGTATTCATGAAGTATCTTTAGCTTTAAATTTCTTTCAGATACAAACTGTACCTTAATGGGATAAATGAGTAAAGTATAATTATCACTGATTTATAGGTAAGAAAACTTAATTCCCAAGAAACAGAGGGAGCATCCTGATTCTTAATTGAGTATTCGCGCTTGGAAGGATCGGATGCTATTGGGACACTGCTAGCAACTAAGCAAATTTCCTGCATTAGCCATAGTGCAGGGTTTGCTGCTAACAAAGCCCAATGCGATTTAATATCGTGCAGTAAGTTAATTGCCCCCAAAGGGTAAAGCAGAAGTAGTGTCAGCCCCCTAGTCTCCCACCCCATGGGGTCTACAGGAAAGAAGATGCTACTTGCCAGAAAACAAGAATCTGGAGGTCAAAGCCTAGGGACACCACTGCTAATAGTTTCACAAGGCTATAAAAGGGAGGGGTGAGCCTAAAAGAACACAGAAATAACACAGTGACACAGCAAGAAGAGGCACATCAGGAGAAGACCAGCAACCTGCTGAGCTCAAAACTGGGCCTCCATAAGGAACAGCAAAGAGCAAGAAGAGGAAGAAGGCAATGGCCTCAGTGCAGATTCACACCCAGAGAGTTGTCACTGGAAGAGAAGGCTACAAAAGAGATGTAGAGGTATAGTAATGGAGATTTTCTGAGGAAGATATTTATTAAATGTTAGAGATGTTGAGAGCAAAGAATGCAGCTGAGATCTCCTAATGGCATTATGTTTGGCAGGAAAGAAGTCTGAAGTCTGCTTTCCAAAGGCCGATATATATCTTGGAGTTGCCTGGACTAGATGGGTTTCAAGGTCAACCTCAAGCCCTATTGGGTTTGAAAAGGCCAGATGTGCAAATTGCACATCATATTGCAAATACATAGATCAGTATATATAATATGTGGATAATATAATGTGATACTGGCTAAAATGTAAACACCAAATTGCTGAAGCTGTTTTAGTTGATAGTAGATAAATTGGGGTATTTTTCTGTCTTCCTAGGGGTAAAAATATTATTTCTCTGTATACAGAACAATAAATTATAAACATAAATAAAAACTGAGAATTCAAGGCAGCAGAGAAATAAGAAAAAAAGAAATTGTGGTATGAAACAGAATTTGGAATAAAAGGAAAATAGATTTTCATTGTAGAAGAACAAA